GAGAGAGAGAGAGGTGTTAAGGCACGATATAGGATTGGAGATGAGTAAAATGATAGATACAATGGAGAGTCTAGGAGACCGATCTTCCGTATTTCATAAATTATTGGATTTGACTCTAATAGTTAGTAATATATAGCAGGCAAACTTGGGGAAAATACCCTCTTTTTTTTGTTGGGCAGGGGGAGAGCATTCAATAATCATAAGTAAATGATGAGATAATGCCCAACAACTACCGATTACCAAAGTCTTAGAACCCAGACCTAGCTTCAGACTTCAGATCAGGTCCAAGTAAAGCCGCTTCCTAAGAGAATAAGGAGAAAGCACAAAACAACATATCTGCTTGCTTATTTTTTTTTTTTTATAATTAATTTCCTGAACAAGGGTTCTCTTTTTACATGTTTTAGATTGTTTTACATATTCTTTGTTATCCCTAGTGCCTCGTCTTTTGTATTATCTAATGCAATGCTTTGACAAGAAAACCTACAATTGCATTTTTTTCCTATCATCCATTGGAGAGAAAAAATTCGGCCTTTGTTGTCCCCATGCCGGTCATGCTAGTCCCAAGCGCAGGTAAAGGAGAAGGGTTATGGTACGTAACAAGCAGCATAAAATTTCGCCAGATTTTTTCATGAATTCTGAATGGCAGAACAAGATTTGTGTGGCCGACCCCAAATAGTTGGGATAAGGTTTGGGTGATGATGATGATCCATTAGAGAGAGAATTCATCAAACTATTTCAACTTGATATGCGCCCCTGGGATTCATGAAATACTGGCATAACCATGAGCATGTCTCTAGGCATTTCGGCGCATGCTATCACTCAGCAACATAACAGTACTTCAGCCATTTCATGCCATATATAGCACGAGTAATTTGATGCCATATATATAGCATGCAAGCCTGCACTTTATGACAACACACACGCACGCATGCACACACACAGGGACGGTAAGGAGAAAAAAAATGCACTTCATTGCCTATTTAAGGAAGCTTCAGGGTTTTAGTAGTTCAAGGAGTTAGTGGAAAACTTCCTAGTTTTTTTTTAGTTAATCCTTCCTAGTTCCCAGTTAATGCAGAGCATTATCACAATATATTTGGATAGGTTTAATTTAAAAAATGCAACCAAAAGATTTACCTCAAGGTCTGTTGCACCATCTCCCACCATAGCTAAAACCTTGTGCCCATGCACCTGAAGATCCAAAAATTGTAAGAATGGAAAACGATATCACCGTTAATCACAATGGGATTTGGAAGCATAAAAACATATAACACAGAACCTCAGACATTACCCTCTTAATGAGCTCCACAGCAGTTGCTTTCCCTCCACTTCGAGAAGTTGGTTCCTCAGTGTCAAACCCCACAAACTCCCCCGACTTACCAAACAGTAATTGATTTGCATATATATTATCGGGAGGAATGCCAAGCGCTGATGCAACAGGCTTCATGACAAGTTGCTGTAGTTAATAAGTCTGAAGAGTACAAGAATACGGTTTCCCAGCAATACATGAATTAGAAACAAAAAACTATACCTTAAACTAGATAATCTTTACTCAGCCATCAAATTATGTTATAAAGGATCTGATTCCGTAGAAAGGACAAACCATACAAGTCCGAGAGATGCCTTTCTCCATAAACATTTATAAGAAAATAGAAGTTTATCACTTTATCTTGCTCTTTTTCATAGATGACAGGATTATGTTATAGTTACATAGCCACTACAAGAAACATTTTGACCGCCCAACTTGACTGATTTATCATATGGCTTCCACAACTAACATAAAAATTAAGTCCAAGAGTTAAACTGGATCTGGGTATTAATTAATTTACCTTTTCTTTAATTGTTATATTATTAATTGACCTTGTATTAACGCTTAACAAGACAATTTTGTAGGTATTCTCAATAACACTTCAGTTGTCCAGCAAGTACCAGAATAACACCATGTTGGTGGAGAAGTTTCTTTTGTTTTTTTTGGCTATCAATCCTGTTTTTGGAGTCCTTGTTAGAATCACAGCAAGATGGAAAGAGGAAGAGTCCATACTTCTCCATTCACATATGGTGGACAAATGCAACAGAAATTTGTGACGAAATGGTTAGCCAGGATAGGAAACATATTGCTTCAGTGGATCAGTATGATTAGATTTTTAAGGCTTGAAATAGAGCTCAATGACTAGGCACTGCTCTAATAAACAAATTGAGTCAGGTTATAGTGGAACTTGAGGAGTGCAAATGTGATGAGCAGGCAAGAGACCAATAAAGCAGCCAGAGGGAATGCAAGTATGTTAAGCATTATCAAGCTTTGATTGCAAAATTCAGCATCTTAAAACAACAAAAAGAAAACAAAAGGTAGGAACTCAGCCTTTCTAGTCAGGTTTAATATATCATATTTCCTTAGATGGAGAGAGCATTAAAAAGCGGGCCGATGCACCACATTGAAGTGGGCCAAAACAAATCCACTACTATATCTAGGTCAAGGTAAATTGCCAAGGTCAGGTCTGCCCTAATGTGGGGGCCTCAGCCCCTCTTAGGTGTGCTTCACCTCAGGACAAAAAATACCCTCATGTGACAACCCCCCACACACCCCACCCCACCCCCAAATAACAACCAAAACCCTGTCCCCACCCAACCACCCAAACCTTCTCCTTCTCTTAACCAATTGCTCTCTAAACTCATGTTTAGGACTTGAGATCCAGATCAAACTCAGAATTTGAATTCTATTTTTCGAATTTGTAAAATTTTCTGATGACAATGGAATTGAATCCAATCAGTAATCTGCAAAACATCAAGAGAAGTTCGAAGAGGTCACGCAGCCTACAACAGTCTGTCTTTCACACCAAACTGTCGAATGAAGCTCATAATGGTAAGAAAGTGGGTTTTTTAGCTATGGGCCTAGCAAAAGAAAAATTGGGATAAGTTCCCATAGAATCCTCCCCTCAAAATCGGATGTGAAGGTTTTCTCTCATCCGGCGCCAGTAGTTGTACAGATTTAGCAAAAACGATCAATTTTTCATTGAAATATTATTGTATTTCGAACTAGTAATCTCGTTCCAGTGCTCTAGGAAAGGGATTCAATTTTAAAATTTTGGGATCTCAATCTCCACTATTAGGGATCCTGATTCCTATTGTTAGGGACCTCGATCCCAATCTTAAAAACCAAGACAACCACCACACTAATGATTTTCTTTATTTATAGCCAGCTAGCAACACAACTATACTTTTAATAGAGTTGCATTGCTTACTAGCTATAGATAAAGAGATCTCTACTTTAAAGAGTGTATATAGTCCTAGACTATACATACTCTTTAAACGTTTGGTTTGCAGGAAAATGTTTTCTAGAAAACATTTTCACATAAAAAAATTCTCTCATGCGGTCAAGTGTGAATATTTTTATATCAATTAGTCGCAAATTGGTGTGAAAAGATGCACTGAGACCAACTGGTATGAAAATATTACCACAATTGACCACATGAGAGTTTTTTTTTATGCGAAAATGTCACGCGAACCAAATGTGCACTAAAGTTGGGATCAAGTTCCCTAAAAGAATGGGATCTAGATCCTTGACATTTGGGGATCCAGATCCCCAACATATGCATTATACAGACGACACTCCCAACTATAGGAATCTTCTATCATTTACGATCCGCTAGTCCTGCTCTTGGTCCCAACAATTATAATTTTGAATTTCAAGCATAAAGGAATGCCTGTCCATGGAGGGACACCGAGGTAAATGAATGATAAGTCATCCACCATGCCCTTATGAAGCTAGTCACCTCCTAATTGTCGTCTTTTGCACTCTCTATTGTTCTAGTTCCCCTCAAGTTTAACTTTCTTCCGAACCCATCTAAAAATCATTTGCTACAAAAAGATGAAGAATGCTCCACCAAGGACATACAAAAGCAATCATCATCCAAAACTACACATGGAAAACCATTACTATATTCCACCATGAAGAAAACCTTTAATAGGGCTGTCTTCACTCTTCAACCACTCCTTTTAGTAATTTGTCAAGAAATTCCATCATGATAGTGAAAGAGGTGAAAGAAAAGAGAAAATGCAGATCCCCTTGTCTTAAACCTTTCAAGATCCAAAAGAAAATTTTAGGATAACTATAAATAGAGATCTAAAAGGAATCCATAGGAATGAATACACTTATTCAACTTAATTGTCGCCATCCAAATCCAATCCTTTCCAACACATAACCTAAAATATTTTATATCCATCTTTGCAGTCAGAGATTTCCTATTTGGCCCCCTAATATACAATGCACGGCTTGCTTGTTCTTTTCTTAATGCCAAAATGCAGGCAAGATTTGAATCTCTCACAAAATCACCAAGGAAGGGAGAGACGAAGTATCTTTGTAATGCCTTGAAAGAAACTTTATTTCCACAATTACAAATTCCTCCCACCATACTGAACGACTTGAAAGTTGCAGCACTCAATCTTCATATGTAGATTAAACAAGGATGCAGGACTACCAAAGACCATCCCATAGATTTAAGTACCTCATAACCTTCAAATATTGTCTCACTCAAAAAACAAACTTGATTAATGTGGCTTCAACCCTCAATGATGTCCAACAAGTGTTAAAGTTCATGAAATCTGTCCACACAATTCTCTAATAAAGTAAGTAAGCCTTGGGATGAATCTTCATGGTCCATGCGATTCTGATGGTTATGGTTTCAAATGCTACAGATGGTTCACACATAGTACCCCTTTTGGTCTTTTTGTATGTGACAAATCAATTTTTTTTTTTTTATGGAAGAGAACAGTTCCTATCAAAATTTAATTTAGAAGACCAATATTGGGTTGTTGATCAAAATACTTGAGTTAATTGAATGATCTGATGTACACTTGTCGCACATACAAGAGTTGTAATCCTATAAATATGTAACAATGGACTTGGGGATGGAAGCATTTCTGAGATTTAGCTGAAAAGGCCCTTAGTAGAGTCAACGTAGGGTTTATAAGTTTAGAGTTCGCTTTGAGAATGAGTACTTCCATGAGTAATACTGACAAAATATAAAAAATGACAGAAATATCTAATACATGCACAAATACAGAGTACATGCACATACATGAAAGGTCTACTGATATAGAGCTTCTAAGCATTATCAAACTTTTCTATCTTGGAATTCCTTGAGTAGTCTTTCTCTGTCCTTCTCCAAGGATTCCCATTTTGTTAGAAGTAATGAACTTCGCTTTAAGAATCTTCCCTTTTGTGAAGCATAAAATATTTCCTTCATAATCAAGCGAACTATGACATTCTAACCACAACATGCATTTTCCATTCCTTTTTTAATATTTTCTAGAGATTTCCAAAGGATTTCTGAGGAAAAAAACGCACTTTGTATTACTTGAACAAGATTTGCTATATATTACTTGAACAAGATTTGCTAAGCAGGAGATTGCCACTGTGTAAGAGAACAATATATTTCCAACCTCAGGCATTCGTTAGGAGCACTTTGTATAACCATTTGGATTTTGAGTAGCCTGTAAACCTATTCAAGAGTGAAAGTACAACAATTAACCTCTCACAGCTTGTAAGAAATATAGAAGTTTGTGAGAGGCTGCTAAGTGAACTCAAAAATTTCTCAACCTTCTCCAAATCTGAAATTGCACATACCTAATGTCATTTTCAATGCTTATAAGGTACCTTTTCAATTGCTGGAAGAATAAAAACAGAATAATTTGATATTTCCTGTCCAAGAAAGGGTTGAGCAAGGCCAGGTCTAACTTGTATCTGGTAAAAACTAACCGTGCAAGGAAACCAGCTAAAATTACACTTGGAAAAGTGAAAGTGTATATTAAGTATGACAACTCAAAGACAACACAAGGAACCTACCTAGAATGATATATCTCGCTCAAACAAGGTTGTATGCTAATGATACGATGTTACCAACGCCTATGTGAAGGACTTGAAAAGGACTAAAACAAATTATTCTTATACAGGGTTGACACTCTAAGCCCTGCAGTTGGTATACAAATGCCGAGGCAATTTCTTTCAAATTTTGCTGCCACCATATTTTTATTCAAGTATGACTCCTATGCCCACACTAAAGGCAAGTCTAACTTTTTGAACTTAAGCATAGGCAACCAAACCAACTATTAAACCATATTATATCAGTGATACAAAACTTGGCCGAATCGACTCGAATTCAGTCGAGTAACTAATGCAGGGAGAAAAAATAACCAACCAAAAAATAAAAATAAAATAAAATTTTAAGAGATTATACACTCTCTGAAGGTCTGCAAGGGAGTCCACCTCAAAAACAATCTTTTCACAAGATCAACTGTACTCAATTCAGATCTTTTCACCATATCAACTTTTCTGAATTCAGATCTTTTCATAAGATCAACTTTTCCCAGTTCTCATTCTTTGATCATTCTTTTATCATTTACAATGAAGAGATATCTCCCTTTAAATAGACTAAAAAAAGATAAACAATAACTAAAAAAAGACCTCTCTCTCTCTCTACTAACTTGTTACCGTTTTTCCAAGCTCCTATTTCTCTCTTTATCTCCTATTTTCTCTCTTCCTCCTCCTTTCCTTTTTCGTTCTATTTAAACTTTCTCTGCCCATCACGTGGAGTCCCATGAATCAAGAAAACTCCCCCATCTTCACGTACTCCATTTATCCTTGCTATATCTAAATTATATATCTTTCTCATATTTAAATCCCCCTTAAATCTTTTACTAAATCTACAATAAGCTTAAAAAAAACTAACTCACACTACTCATTTCTAAAATCATAAATTTTAAAAATAACAAAATTACTATTCTAAATTTTTCCTACTTTTTATCTGCATCAGTCTCCCGGGGCTGGGAAAAGCTCGACCTCGAGCTTGAAGCCAATCAAGCTCGAATATTGATGATGTAATCCCTCCATGCGCCTTGGAACTTTTTCTTCAATTTCTTCATTAAACTGATTCATCAAAGGCTTTGTGCTTATCTCGAAGTAGAACATTGGGATATTGGGCTCAATCTTGATTTCTCCTTCAGACTCACAAGGTTGGATTTCGAATACTGCATCACACATATCCTCCTCTTAGTATTTGATTTTCAAAATTTCTTCTTTTTCTTCACAATTAATATTTGAAATTTCTTGCACATTTGGTTTATCGGTGTCGCCTTTTGTATTGAGATCTATCTCTTCATATTCTTCTTCCTCTTGTTTCGATTGCAATCTATGAAATAAATCTTGTAGACTTTGTTCTACTACTTTGCTAATGCGCTCTCCTAGGTCTTCTTTGAGTCTCTCAAATCTTTGATCCAATCGCTGCAACCGCCGATTCATGTCACAAACTTCGCTTCGAACATCTTCTAAGATCTCAAGGCTCTCCATAACAGTATGATCTTAGGGCTCTGATACCAACTGATACAGGGAGAAAATAATAACCAATCAAAATATAAAAATAAAATAAAAGTTCAAGAGATTATACCCTCTCTCAAGGTATACAAGGGAGTCCACCCCAAAAACGATCTTTTCACAAGATCAACTTTACTCAATTCAGGTCTTTTCACCATATCAACTTTACTCAATTCAGATCTTTTCATAAGATTAACTTTTCTCAGTTCTCATTCTTTGATCATTCTCTGATCCTTTACAATGAAGGGATATCTCCCTTTAAATAGAATAAAAAAATATAAACAATAACTAAAAAAAAGACCTCTCTCGAACTTACACTTTTTTTCCCAAGGTCTTTATTTTCTCTCTTCCTCCTTCCTTTTTTTTAGTTCATTTAAACTCTCTCTATCCATCAAGTGGAGTCCCTTGAATCAAGGAACCTCCCCCATCTTCACGTACTCCCCTTATTCTTCCCATATCTAAATCTCATATATTTCTCATATTTAAATCCCCCTTAAATCTCTCACTAAATCTAAGATAAGCTTTAAAAAAACTAACTCACACCAAGATTTACCTTTCCTAAAACTCACGCTACCCATTCCCCAAATGATAAACTCAAAAAAAAAACAAAATTACTATTCTGAATTTTTCCTAATTTTTATCTGCATCAATAACTCAACCTCAACACCCAGCTGCGGTGAATTTTTTATACAAACTCGGGTTTGCTAAAATAACTTTGAGACCATTCATTCTTGGTACAGGAAGGTCACACCTTTTCTTAGCCATTGGATGTGAAATCTAACATATTCAAATGTATCACAGCTTGCGAGAAAATTTGTTTTGGACTTTGTGCCCAATTAGTGAGACATCACCACCTATCCAAATTCACATCCAATGTTTGACAATGATTGTGACCTTCTTGAATCAAAAGTAAATAGTCTCATCATATATATTTCCTTTTATTATTATATGCCCTAATTCTCTATTTTCCTATTTTTTAGATTTTTGTGAGTTGTTTCAAGCTATCAATCAATTTTTTATAATCCGTCTCCCATGTACTCTTTTCCATGTTTTATAGGACTTTTACTGATGGCGCAGCAAAAGCGTGGCGAGCCCAAGTCCCGCACAGGTCCAAGGATCGAAACCTGACTCTAATATGAGAAAAGCTTCTTGATGATTTTAGCCGATCCCAAATATTTGGGAAAAGGCTTGGATGATGATGAATATAGACTTTTAATGATGCTTAGAACTTCTTCTGCTTTTTGCTATTTATAGCAAAACTTCATATTTTTTTGGCAATTTTGGAGCTTTTTTTGAGCTCATGTAGAACTTGGGCGCCTCCACTTGGACTTGCCCAAGTTACACAATTCAGGCAGGGGTCAATTCCCAAGTTCAGGCCTAGTTTTTTTAAAATTGTATTATATGAATCCACAGTTAATTAGAAGCAATTATAGTGCTAATGGATAGAGCATTTTCTAGACAATTGAAAACAAATTCAATAGAAAAAAAAAGGTTCTATCAATGTAATAAAGGTCCAGCATACGTTGATCATTTGACGAAACCCTCCAGAAACCAAGTAAACATTAATCTTATTAGCTTTCAACTTTTTCATCAACTCAGGTATGCCAGGAGAAATCCTACAAAGAGAAAAAAAGGAAAACAAATATCAAAACATGTCACAATTTGAATAGAATAAAATATACAGTTGTCACAATGATCACAAGACTCAAAGCCCTAAATCACATATTTTCTTAAACAAGTGTTACAGATTTTGATTAGCAAATTTTCCAAGAAATAAATGTCCCTTCAATTTGACCAGGATTTCACAGTCACGTTTGGACACTGGTGAGAGTGCATAAAAACCGAATCACATATACTTGGAGTACAACTATGTTGAAAACTCAAGACAATACAACTTGAATTTTACACAATACACTTGAAATTAAGCATACAACTTTAAATTATAGCAACCTTACTGTGATTACAATGAACAAATGACTCAAAAATAGAGGATACAACTTAATTAGGGTCCCTTGTCCATCAACAAATCCAACTACTCAAGGAGATCATCAAACAACACAAGTATGAGGTGCTTTTGAAAATTCTGCACCACTCAAAATTATACATCAATAAACTTCATAAAACTATATGACATAATCTCCAACATTACAAAATACATATGTTCAAGTATATAATGCAACATATCCATGGGAAGCCGATTAGAGCTCTCAAGTGTCCGGTTTAGGGCCTTGGGTCTTAACTATGTGTCATTGGCCGACATGTGATGGCAACTCAAAATTCGGCCAAATTCATCATCTCAAGAGTGGGAAGCCAATCATCTATTGATATACGCTTGAAACATGAAAGGGTTTGCAGAGATCAAATGATCAAAACAAGTGGCAAAAAAGTGGGAGAAATCGTGGCTCTTGGATCACAAAACCGGTTTATAGAGTTTCAAATCAGCCACATAAAATGAAGATCTAATTGACTGATTTGGTTGTGAAAATCTCAAGAAAGTATCACTTAAAAATGCTCCAAAAATCACAATAACAGCTCATGAAAAAACTAGATCAAATGTGCATGGATGATGCCTTCAACTATATGGTCAAAGTAGATCTATAAAATCAATTATCTAACATCAAATTGATGAAGGAAGCTTACTGTAATTAGGAATTCACATTAATAAGAATCAGCTAGAATCAATGAAAAATGATGAGATCTTATTTAATTGATAAAGGCCTTAAGACTAGATCATCCATTGCTTGAATTTGAGGCAACCACCACTAATAGAGCTTCTATGGAGCTTTCTCTCACATCACCTTCATTCACACTTTTGAAGAGAGAAAGGGAGAAGAGATTGCCTAGGGTGTGCCACACTAAGGAGCTAGAGAGAGAGTGGCATTCCACTTAGAGAGAGAGAGAGTGAGTGAACTCAAGTGTGTAGTATGAAGGCTTAAGGGGATTTATAGGCTTCTAACCATCAAGTATATAGATGCTTCTAGATACATGAATCTAAGCCTTTAATGCCATCATCCAATGTCTACAAAGAGAGGCTTAATCTTAACCCATCATCCATCATCATGCTATCAAGATTAGTGGTACAAATTTATACATATTTATCCTCTTTTTTATTTAATCATAATTCACTCCAATTTCCCTTGTATAAATTGCACGTGCACAATCCCCTTGTTTTTCACACGTGCACAATCCCCTTGTTTTTCACATTTAACATGGGCTCAAAACATTTTTCCAAAATCACAAAATTCCATAAAATATCGTAATACATTGCCTCATTTGAGTGAATAATACAAAAAGGACATGGGGGTCCCAAAGGGGGTTTGACATCACCCTCCACATGGGCGGATGTGGGACCCCCTAGGCCACCATGTGGACACCCATAGGCCATTTGGGTGTCCCGTGTGGGTCCCGGGGAACTGTCCTCAATAGGCATTTAGCCCAAACAATTCGAAAATATGCATTTTCTTGTTCAAAAAATTCCCAAAAATCCACAAAAATTATCTTTATGATTTTTCATTATAATAAATCATTTTAACACCATTTAAAAATATTTACAATGGAAATTAGAATCCTTGGAGCTGAATTAGGAATTGAAGCACTCCACTTGGCTAGACCCAAAATCCGAGGCCACCTTCTTAGTATGACCCAACAGACTCATGACCCACAGTGCATAATCAGGGGCTCATGATATCAAATACAAACCAATGAGTAACCTGAATCCCCAAGTATAAGTAAAATTTCAGGTGCACCCCTGGAGGATATGCACCACCCCCACATTGTGTAGGGGTTCCTCTCTTGGCACACGTGCATACCTCTTACCAGTGGATCCCCAGAATAGTGGCTTCCCATGTATTGCGACTGTTTATGCACATGCTACGAGAAGGTTCTAAGAGTCAAGGATTTAGGCCAATGCCCTCTATTGGGCCTAGCCTTCCAGCACAAGTCTATCTCATCACCGTACTTATATCACATAATCACATAACTTGCATCACCCTGGCCCATCACACAGTCATGAGGTACAAACATGACAACTGATCCTGACTAATAGGTAACCCTTAACCCTCTCGGTACCTTCCATATACACAAATCCTCATCATGACTCACTCGCAATTCTATGACTCTTGGTTCCAGTATGCCAAGATCCTAGAGTCATGTCGCTCTATAAACCCACTGAAGTTAAGAGCTATCCAAAATGTCAGAATTGCAGACCTTGAAAGGGTATAATTCCAACATCTGGTACTCACTCACAAATGGTACCAAGAAATAGGACCAAGACCCCAATTTGGGTTTAATAGGAACTCAAACATGTCACAAACAAGACTCATTAAAATAATTTTTTTCCCGCTGGGCTTTTTCCTGCTGTGGGATATGGATCTATAGTTTACAAGCCTATAAAGGATTGGAACCATTCAAGTATAACATTCCATAGATCTTGTTTCCAATCACAATCAAGAATGTTATTGCATGATTGCATCAAAAATTGGTAAACCATGTTCCACAATCGTAGTTGATAAAACCTTGTTTACCACTTGACCCAACAATAACAAGAACATGATCTAACCAAAAAAATCTTACGTAAATAATAAAACAAAATTCACGAGACCTAATATATAGATTTTGTCTGTGCAATATATTTCACTATTTTATGTAAAAAAGATGGACAAGTATGAATGAGGCTATAAAAAATAGAACGAATTTACAGATTGTACAAAACTCAAAATGTGATAAAATCAATTCTTCAAGAATCCTGATTTATAACCACAAAAGGGATAGGAACAAAAGGGATAGGAAGGGCTTCTCACAGAACTCAACAAAATAATGTCTCTAATAACCATATCTTTTGAGATTTTGTAATAGGAAGGTTTCCATTTGTATCGAGCACGCAACCTGTGGGTTGCCTTCGCCCACATCTTGTGAGTATTCTTATAAATAGTATTGTAACATCAGTATATATTGTTACCTTCATCAAGAAAAAAAAACCATAGGGTATGCTGCATTATGAGATGTGGGGGGAAGGGGAGTTCCTTCCAGTACCATATCAGCGACATGGAACTCCACCTTCCCCATACTATGCAATGAAAATAAAGAAAGGGAGAGGATGAATGGAGCTGAAGATAGCCAGCTGCAACCACCTTCCCCTTGTTCCGCCTTCACCCATAAATCTACCATCCCCTTCACCACCACTAAGCTCCAACCACCACCACCACCAAAATCCAGCCAAAAATCCCCATCCAAAACCCTCTCCCAGAAGCCACCAAACCTGGTCGAACATATACCACACATTTCCCACAACCTAGACATGTAGATGGGAAGATAATAGTCGTCCTAGACAAAGACCAGGTGCTACTAGCATAGAAGAATTCAAGAGTTACTCGGTGGGATACTTCATGGGGCCATGGCTACAATTGGGGTTTAAATACAAGGCAGCTCAACATCATACCTAAAGGAAGCCACCACATAATCTGTCATTTTGAATTGAAGGAGGATTGCAGAAGGTCATGAAAGGAGGAAACTGGATTGTAGGACGAAAGGCATTAAATCAAGAGTGATAGCATGGGGGCAAACCCCCACCAATCTCAAAGCTCACAATCATCCCAATGTGGGTTCAATTACCAGGTCCTCGTGAGTTCTGCTGGATCCAAAACATCTTTGGACTGAGAGCTACTGCCATTAGTAAGCCACTGTCCATGTAATGCAACCGATGGGGCGAAAACAAATGGACTGCACTTGGATGAGTGCTGAGATTCAACCAAACACCTCCCACAGCCGACAGAAATTAATGGGGTATGCTAAAACCTTCTCTTAGCATGTTGAGTATGAAAAGGCCTTGATGTCTCAGAATTAGCAATAACAGTTCTCCAACAAATCAAAAAGAGAGAAAAGCTACTGCACTATTTTGACTAAAAGACAAAGTGAACAAAAGAAGAGTACTCTTCAGAAAGAACAGCGAGTAGCCGAGTAGTTCAAAAAATAGGCAAGACGAAAAACAGTGCTGGGCAAGACATCAGATGAAACAACGCCGCATTCCTCAGCAAGCTAGACTATAGCATGCCTGCTAAAGCTCCCATAAGTATGAGGTTCGATAAGCTAGAAACAGAAACAGCAGGTGATGAAGAAACAGGTGGCTTAAGCAAAGAATCAGGAGGTCTAGGTGAAGAATTAGGGGGTCTAGGTGGAAAAATAGTGGAGAGAGACAGCTTCAGCAAAGAGAAAGAGGTGGAAGAAATAGAGGCAATTAACAGGATACTTTGAAAAACCAATCCCAAAAATCACAAAGATGCGATTAACAAATCTGTGCAGAAAAGGGAGAAAAAACAGGGGCAAAAAACTCAGGGAGCAAATCCTGGCACATGTCCAAACAAGCATTACATCCACCCATATGTAGACCCCTACCTCCCATTTGCACACCTCCAGTAATTGAAGCTCCCCATTTCGCTCATTCAAACCCCTCCACAGTAGATCCAAGCCTTCGATTGTTGATTCAAACCCATTGTCAAGGCAATAGGCCTTACCTTTCAAGGTCGCCAAAGCTTGCGGAGGGTTCATCATCATCAAATCTTTTTCCCAAGTAATTGGGGTCGGCTACATGAATCCTGATCCGTCATTCTGTTCTATTAAGGGCCATAACCTCAGCTTGCGGAGGGTTCAAAACACAAAATTTTTTACTTCATTACAAAATCTGGAAATTCACATATTAAAATTGTACAGTATGCAAGAAGAGAAAGCTCCAATAGCATGCCACCTTGCAACAACAGGCCATGATGATACAGGTACAACCAGCAAAAAAAAAAGAACAGTGCTATTTATAAAACACTCGGGATAAAAATGTTAAACATATGATGGCAGCAAACAATCTCGTACAAGATTGCTACCAAAACAAAAGGCGTCAATGATAAAGAAAAGATGAGAAAGAAATGGATTTTGTGGATATTGTATACTTTCATATCATTGGAGCAGAAAAGATGGCAGAATTGGAAATGCAATGTGGACAGGAGTGTCGATGGCAGAAATGAGTATACATAAACAAAATATACATCACAAGCACACCATGTAATCACTTGGATTGAAGTATGGAGTTAGGCGTCATGACATGATTTTTTGTGCTCACTAACAACTGGACTACAAACCACAGAGTTTCTATTCATGGACCTAATGTATACACTTTTTCATACTACTTCAACTGTTGGGGTTCCTGTAGAAACTCCAACTAGTCTAGTGAAGGAAGAAAAGAGTATGCGTACTATGAACCTCCCGAAACATCAATGAAATTCTATAGAACTCAGAAAATGCAAGTTTCCTGTGGCTTGAATAAGCATAAAAGATTCCATTTCAAACATATCTATTACAGTGAAAAGCTGTTTCCATTTTTCACTTTTCACCAGCAAAAGAAGTGTGAGTAAGGAAATAAGATGTGTGCTCCTAAAGCACAACAAAAACTCCAAATAGGTAAAAGGAAAAGATGCCATTTATCATGTTATTAGTGGAGTTGTCTGCAGTTATCTAAGTTATGATATAATCACAAGTATGAAATGTTCTTCTTCCTCTTCCTTTTATTTTTTTTGTTGTTGTTGTGGAGAATACGATAACTATAGAAAGTACCACTGCAAGATATGAAATACAATTATTTATGCATCATCATCTCTTCCAAATATTGTTGGGAAAAACAAGTTAGCATCTGAATTATGCAGAGTACCAGTTAAAAGCAGGAGCTGTTCCACCTGGTAAAGCTCATATGAACTGCAGTTATAGGACTTAAAAACATCTTTTTTCATTACTTCTAATATCACACATTACCAAAACACCTTGAATGTGATGAGCATATTAATTCTTGTGACAAACAAAACTGAATAAAATAAGGGATTGTATACAATGAGACCATTTATTTTTGTAAAAGGTGGTCACAATTATGTACAACCATCCGATGTGAAAACTGATAGATTGATTGTGTCACAAAGTTCAAGAAAATTTTCTTTGAAGTTTGAGCTTGGTCAATGGAATAAATGCAGCCGTCTAATTTCACATCCAATGGTCAAGATTAATTGCGACCACCTTGTACCAAAGATAAATGGTCTCAATTGTATACTTTGACATAAAATAAAGCTACACTATGGACAAACAGATTCATCCTGGATGAGAATCATTGAAAAGACAGAAAAGTACTTATTTGTTCTTTCCATTTTTTTGTTGAGTTTGAATCAAGCGGAACCAGCTGAATGCTCGTATTTTCTTTCATATAATTCATGATACTAAAGGCTAGTTCCAACAAAACAAAACAAAACATAATAAAATAAGGGATTGTATACAATGAGACCATTTACTTTTGTAAAAGGTGGTCACAATTATGTACAACCATCCGACGTGAAAACTGATAGATTGAGTGTGTCACAAAGTTCAAGAAAATTTTCTTTGAAGTTTGAGCTTGGTCAATGGAATAAATGCAGCCATTTAATT